GGGGGTGGGTGGGCTCCACATCTTGGAGGCTGAGGAGGATCTGAGGGCTCCCCAGTACCACCTTGCGTAGAGCTGTGTCCACTGCAGCTGGCTCTTGGGCCCCAGCAAGTTCAGAGTAGCCGGGGACCAGTGGAAGGAGGAATGCGGGAGGCAGGAGACAGACACCTCTCCACCCACTGCCCTGCAATTCCCACTGCTGCCCGTGCTGAGCACTGGCTCAAAGTTTGGTTCCCTCTGGAGGTCACGGTCTGGGACTCCCTGTGGCTCTGCTCTGGAGCATATGGGCTGGCTCGTGTTGTGCAAAGCCACCAAGGTGCTAAGTGATATATCTTTGTTTTGAAATTGGACCATTTTTCTTATTTAAAGTACCTTCACCCCCACCAGTTCAGCTGTGTTCTCAGTGAGTGAAAAGTGATGACTTAGTAACTGTTGGCTTCCTAGAACGGTAGCTAATAAATGAGTTTCCATTTTAGTCAAGTGACCCCTTTTCTCAGAGGAATTACTTTGCTGCTAATTCTCTGAAGGAAAATGAGCTTTGCCTGGATCTGAACTGTGAGCTGCTCTGGCACTGCTCACTCACCAAAATGCCGAGGTTTCTGAGGGAGGTTGTTGCTGGGCTGGGGGAGTGCAGGGTGGAATTGGTGAGAGACTGAGAGGCTCAGCAGAAATAAAAGCAGTGACGTGAAAGTGTACTGAGTGGGAGGATGTGGAGGTTATTTGATCTCTTTTGTCTTCTGCCTTGCTAGCTAATTCATACCGTGGGGGCTGTGCTTCCTCTGGGGAGCTGGCTGCCATTGACAGCCATTCCATCCCTAAGCTGGGGTGTCCAGCATCCCAATATTTCCAAAACCAGCTAAACTCCTCAGAGTACCACTTTCTGTCTTTCATAGTCTTCAGGTTTTAATGATGCAAATGTTTAATGAGACTGTTTAAATGATAGTAACAGTGCAAAAGGGCTGCTGTAATGTTGAAGGCATTTTGAAGCTGTCTCCCATGTTAGTGTTAATTGTAAGTGTTAGACACTGGTCATCCTGTTAAGTTTGCATTTGGGAGTCTATTTCAAAATATTAGTGTTCTTCATGGGCTTTCATCATATCCTGGCTTGAAAGGACCCAGCAAAATGGCATGATTAATGTGCAAGTTTTGCTGCTTTTCTTCAGAGCAATCTAATGACTGGGAAGAAAAATGTGTGCTTGTGTCTCTCTTTTATTTTTCATGTATCAGCTAGCAATGGTGCACTTAATTCTGCAGTGGCGACTACTGGTAGGAAGAAGATTGCCATGTATATTAAATTGTCCCTCTGTCCCTACACAAAAGGTACATCATAAACAGCAAATAGCAAGCAATAACATCATCAGAATGAGGCATTCTGTTCCAAGCATTGCATTACAGACCATTTAATACTGTTCCCCTTCAAAATGACCCAACTCAGTATTTCTTAGCAGCAGCAGCTTGTGTCTGGAGTATGGGACTGAATCAGGGAAGTCAAACAAGTGTAAATTGAATGCAGTAATTGGGATAAATTGCCATGTGTGATACATTCCACGTGCCCCTATCTCATCATCCTGTACCTTTCATTTGTCACTTTTAGAAGGAATGCTGGAAACAGTAGCCCTAATGATAATGAATGCTAGAATGCTTATTTTACTAATGGTAACAACCCGAATGTAAGGAAACAGCTTTCCAGGGGACTGTGCTGAAAAATGTTCTCATTTATTTACCTTCTGTGAGTGAAATGGGTTGCAGTTATTCGATTCTATTATGTGGACTGCGGCTGTCTGTCTTCCAACTCAACAGAGGTCTGAGAAGAGGTAGGGCTCAATTTGAGACACATCACAGATATAAACCAGAACTGCTGCTGAAAGAAGCTTTCTTCATTTTGGTTGCTTTTTCAGATCCTGTGCTTGGGCTGCTACAGCATTTGTGTGGCTGTGATCTGTGCTGGTCGGGTTAATTTGGGGTAGAAAGAAGGGACTTTGTACCCTCTCTCCTCCCTACTGATTGCACGTCAGCACAGTTCACAAACCCTGCAGCCAGGGCTATTCATACACTTTTTATTTTAAACCCATCGTGCTTTCTGGAGTCTTAAATCACGTGAGAGTAAATCTAGAATTGCAGGCACCGGTGGCTGGGTAGGATAAACACGTTACCTTCTTATTAGCAGTTACCATCTGTGCTGTTGGAGATGTATGAAGCAATAGTTTTGATCTACTGTTGGCAAAATGTTTTTAATACAGGTTTTATGCCTTGCTGGTCTTGTCGTGCAGCTCTGCCCACTAAGTTGCAGATAAGACCACTGTGATTCTTTTTTTCTTGATCTTTTCTCTCAGGATTTTGACATTTGTAGAGCTTGCCAATGTTTCCAACTGCATAACCACCACAGCCCTCCCAGGATTGCTGAGGAAAAGGCCAAGGAGCCTGTTTGTTTTCTCTTTCTCACTTTGGCAAGAAATGCTGTAATTCAGTTGCTTTCCCTGGGAATTGGATGTCATTGTAGTTGGCTGGTTGTGACTGACACGTTTTGGCCTTGAACCAGGAATCATGGGTGAAACCAGCATCCAAGCACTCAGAAAGTTAGGAGTTTTTTGTAAAAGATGTAGCTTGACTCTGCACTCTCTTCCCCTCCTTGTCCCCCGAGGGTACAGCCCTGGTAGATACCAAGCCTGCCAGTACCCTCTTACTGGTGGGACTGCTGCCTAGAGCTTCCCTGCCTCTCCCTGTCAGAGCTGCCTCAGAGTTTGGTGATGCAGGTTTATAATGTGGCAGCTTCTCTGGAGGACAGGAAAAGCAGATCGTTCATTTGTATGGTGTTCCCCTGTCAAGGCGAGCAATCATGCTGTGTTGAACTCCTGAGGCTGTTGCATCAAGGTGGGGGGGATGGGAACCCCACACCTTAATTTACTGCAACATCCCTAAGTCATAATTCTCCCTGCAAAAATAGTCTGTTGCTATCCATTATTGCTCTCAGCTGGTCTTGCCGTATTTGTAGTATCTCTTTAGCTTAATTGTCTAAATGGAAATGTGCAAGTGACCAAATCTTTTAATCAATTAGAGCAATTGTGAGGACTGAGGCTTTCTGACACTGTATTGCGGCACAATCACCAGGCAAACCTGATTTGATTATGTTTTCTGGCTGAGTGTCTAAAGCCCAATCAATTATTGCGGAGAGATGGAACAGCTAAATAAGATTTTAAATTAATAGGGTTTATTATTTTAGTGTCTGAGGAGGCAAACCAGAGTGAAATATCCTGTAAAGCAATTGGTTCATATTTCTTCTTCTGTAACTTTATGATGTTTATACCTGTACTTGAAGGCTTCAGCTTTATCTTGTACAGTAGACAACAGCTGAAGTTCTGTTCAGATATCTAAATAAGTTTCTGGCCAAAAGCCAGTGTTCACAGTAAATCCTGCAAAATTAAGAGATTAAAAAGTAACTATCTCATGAGAGTTACTTAATAAGGCCAGTAAAAAATTAAGAAGAAACAAAAAACATAGATTAAAACAAAAGCTTCTTCTCATTAAGTAACTTAACTCCAGACGCAAAATTGTTCGGGGAAATGTGAAATACTATGATATCAAAGGAGTTGACACTGCAGGTTCATAAAACTTGGAACCTGAGCCTGAAAGCTCAGAGTTTCCTTGCATCTGCAGCCACCAGTCCTTGTTCTGCTAATACTCTCTTCTCCCAGTATTTATTTTTTTTGTTTACAGAATTATTATGTTGTGACCCAAGGTTCATTGTTTCATTCAGATTTGATTCTTCACTGGTTTGTTGACCTTTGGGCCTGTCTGTCTTCCAGGAGCTCTTGAAATAACCATATAAATGGGGTGGGGGACAGGACATCATAGAATATATCTAGTTCGTGCCCCTGTCAATGGTAAAAAAAAGTCTCAGTGCCTTTATGTGCTGCTCTGCCAGCACTGTAATAATTTGAGACATTTCTCGGAGAAACTGTTAGTGTGGTCCATGTAGTGAGAGGAGAGCAGACCCTGGTGACTGTCTTGTTTGGGTGTGTATGTACCAGCTCGCAGGAGTGTTGGCACTTTGCTGGCAGTGCTGTTGGGGCTTGACGTTTGTGCGGGATGGGGTTGTATCAGCTGCTCAGCACTGTGCGAAGGGGGTGCTGCTCAGGATGGCTCTCAGTATTACACTTATGCAGGCACAGAAGCGTGGTGGTGAGGTCACTGTAAGTGCACGTAGTCCCCAAAGAGTATCTGCCACATGAGGATTCCCAGTTCACACTGTGCAGTGGGCAGTATTTCCACTCCTTCTACAAAAAGGTTATAATAAGAAGGAAAAGTACCCTGCCAGCAACTTACTGGGATTGAAACCTATGCTTTTCATCTTGCAGCAGTGTGCATTTTCCTGGTCAGGGACTTACTGAAGGCTTTTGTAGTTTTCATTATTAGTTTACATGTTTATGGTGTCAGTGGTGAATATAAGCAGATGATTGGCTGTGAAATGCTGGTGTGTGTCTTGATAGTTACTGCATGTGGTTGGTGACTTGGTACCCGGTTGCAGTAATCAGTAATGTGATGGAGTGATTATGGGCTTTGAAAGCAAACTTGTACATCTTGACATTCGGGTTAGTTTTGAAATAGTCTTTGAGACGGTGCTGAGCATGGTTCTGCCGGGAGGGAATGACAAATGTTGACACAAGCACAGGACAGATTTCTGGGAGGTGCTCAGTATTGCCTGCCTTTCTAGAAACTGTGCC